TACACATATGTGTGTGCACACGCTGCCCCCATGCTTGTGCAACCCTCACATGTAAACACACGGGCTCACTAGCACATGCATCCACTCACATGTGTGTGCTCACACTGCCCACCCACAAGCATGTTCACACACTCATCCAGGCTTTGTGTGGGACACATGTGCACACTCGTGGGCCTGGCTTCTGAGACAATGGCTCCTGTGCCTTCAACAGCCCACTGGCTCTGTTGCAGGGTCCCAGCCAGCACCCCACACAGGCTACGATTTCCTATCACCTCCAGATGTGGGGCCAGTGGGCCTCCTGGGAGCAGCCAGGACCCTCACCCACTCACCGCCTCCCATTCTGGGCCCTCAGGTTTCCGGCTGCCTCCCTCACTCCAGGCAGCACACTGGGGGTTGTGGCCCTCCTGGCTTGAGCTTTCTGTTTGGGACTTTGGAAACCTGGGTCCTGGGCCTGGGCTAGTGTCCTAGGGCTTCTGGGACAGAATACCTCATGGAGAGGGACCTCCAGGAGACACCACTTCTCCCCTCAGTCTGGAGCCTGGGTGCCGACCATGCTGATTGCTCTGGGACTCTGAGGGGGGCCCTGTCCCTACCTAGGTTTCTGGTGGCCTGGGTGTTCCCTGGCTACAGCTGCAGTGTCACACACCATCCCCCCCCTTGCCTCTCTGTTCTCCTCTCTTCTGTAAGGACACCACTCGGACGGGACTGGGACCCAGTGCAGCCTAACTGATCAAGTCTTCAAGGACCCTATTTCCAAACAAGGTGACAGGTCGCCAGGTCCTGGGATAACGACTTGAGTGTGTCTTTAGGGGGGTAGGACACGATACCAGGGCCCCAAGGGGCTTGGAAAAGATGGCCAGAGTGGTAGTCTGCCTGGGCCATGGCCTCACCCCGGACTGACACCCCCTCAGGCCGCATGTACAGGTAGAAAACAGTAGCAGGGTCTTGGTCTGCTCTGGGCTCTGGGTTCCGGGTCCTGCTGCTCATCAGCCTGGGGTGATTGGGGCACCAGTGTGGACTCCCAGGCTATAATTACCAGGGCTGGTCCCCACCCAGAGTGAGGTATGCTGGCTCCAGTCCCAAAGTACAGAGCACAACATGGTGGTATGGCCCCCACAGGAAACACTGCCAACAGGTCACAAGTCCCAAAGCCCACCACCTGCTAGGCTCCTGGGCAAGGCCCATCCCAGCCTTTCAGAGCCAGCAGGAGGGACACAGTTCAAAGATACCTTGAAGCTGGGGGAGTCCAGGGCCCAGGGCTCAGTGGGTCTCATCTTGGGGACCCCCATAAACAAGAGCAGCAGTCCCCTCATGGACACTCAAGCAGCTGGAGGAGACCTACCTCCAGACTCAGAATCCCTACTCGCAGCAAAGCCCCAGCCCAGAATTCGAATTCATCTGCTGTCAAGTCCCCCAACTTGTGGTGACCCTGTGAACCCTAATCCGCCTGCTGTCAAGCCGCCCGACTCGTGGTGACTGGACGTGTCTTGGAGCAGAATCGTGCTCCACAGGGCTGGCGGTGGCTGATTGTGTCACCAGGCCTTTCTTCCGAGCCACCACTGAGTGGACCTGAACGCCCAGCCTCTCCATTGATAGCCAGGCAGGGACAGCAAGTCCCTGGAAAGAACCAGAGGACTCCCCAAGGAGCTGACATTTGAGCTGGGTATGGAAGGCAGGAGGGAAAAGCTGGCTGGCAGGAAGGGGGCAGGGGCTGAGCTGAGCAAAGCAGGGCCTGGCAGGGTGCAGAGCTGCTCAGGGCAGGGGTCTAGGGTGTGTGAGGGTGCTGAGGGTCTGCAGTGCCAGACCAAGGACCTGGTACTGAACCTAAGGGTGCTGGGGAGCCACAGAGTGCTCTGAAAACAGCAGTGGCCAGTTCACCCTGCAGCCTAGACAGCCTGGTCTCGCCAAGCTGTCACAGGACCCCATCTACTCCAGCAAGTGGGCTCACTTTCCCAAAGCTGAAGGACTACAGTGGGCATCTGGCTGTGGGCCAGAGGGGGCATGAGGCAGGGAGAGGACACGGGGACGGGAAGACATGTGCCCAGGCCAGGAAGGAGACCCTTGAGATGGACCCAGGCTTGGCAGGCCCCCAGACACAGGAGCCGTCCACATAGCTGGCGCCATGGGCTTCAGGCCCATCAAGTCCCCAGGCGCCTGACAGCACAGCTCCAGACATGCAACCTGGGCTGTCCTGGGGCGTGAGCATAAGGCCACAAGGAGCCTGACCTCTGTGTGGCCAGCAACCAGGGATCAGCAGTGGCACCAGGGGGTTGCGAAGGGTTAAGGTCTGCTCATTCACCCTCCCAGGAGGCCCAAACAGTCCTCCCCACCCCCAAAAAGCCCTCTTTGATCCCCGAGGAAGGAGGGAGCTGTAAGGAGCTAACCACCACAGAAGTGCAGGCGCTTGAGGCCCAGAGAGCCCAGGGATGACTCAGCGGGATGCCCTGAGCCCCAGCAGAACAGGCTGAGGGCTTCACCGAGGCTGGGTGCTCAGATCAGAGTGGATGCAGTGGTCCTGGGTCTGAAGCTGTCCCTGCAGGCAGGCACCAAGCAGTTATGTGGCCCCTGGTGGCCATCATTCCAGGTCAGCACAGCCCTGGACTCCTCAGAGGTATATGCTCACTATCCCAGCCCAGGCTAGGCCATCCCAGGGCCTCTGGGGACCAGACCAGACCAGAGCATACCCCTGACCAAGGGGTCCCCAAGGTCATGGGGAGGAGATCGGGAGCCCTTGGTCAGGGGGAATTGGGACCTTTCCCTCCGGCCAGCTACTGCTCCTCGCCATCCCCACCCCTGCTTCCAGGCAGTAAAGGGACCCCCTCCAGGCACCTACGATCCGCCCCAGAGAGGGGCTTCCAGGCAGTGTCCTGGATGCAGGAGAGAAGCCTGGCAGTACAGAAGACGCAGGCGGGGTCTGCCACGGGCCCTCCTGCCCCGACCGGCTGGGCGTGCAGGGAGGGATCGCTTCCCCTTCCTCCACTGGACATAGGACGAGGGCTAGGGGTTCCCCCACGTCAGTGCCCACACTGGCCCCCATGTGGACCCCACAGCCCCCCATGGATGGCTGAGCCCTTTGGTCATCCCACCCATGTCCATCTCCTCAACTCCCATGGATGGGAGACCCCACAGGGGCCCAAATCCTGAGCCTCCTGTCTCCATCGCCCTCTGCCACCTGCCCCCCCAAGCTAGCTGCACCTCGCCTGGCCTCACCAACCCGCTTTTAGGGCCCAGCCCTCTGACACTCCACCCCTCACTCCTGCTGTCTCCATCCCACTGCAACCACCCGACCTCTTCTGCTAGCCTGGCCTGTGCCGCCAGCCAGCCGAGAAGCCCCGCCGCCCCCACTGTCCGCTGCCGCCTTGTGCCAGGTGCACGAAGCTCACATGCACGTCCCAATGTCCCCTCATCACTTCAGAGTGTGCCTCCCTGGGGAAGTACTGACTGCTGGCAAGTTCTCCACCCCCCACCCCATGAGGGCATCTCCCCGGCCTCACGAGTCGGCTGACTGGGGATGCGGCAAAACTGATTTTGAAATCCTTTAAAAAATGTTTCCCTTTGTTTTGTTTTATTTAGAAATTTCCCACATTTTTACCAAGTTAAAGAGACAGCCACAAGAATGTGCAGCCTGGGTGGACGGCGGGCACAAACAACCCCTCTGCCACTGCCCAGTTCCCCCAAAGCCACCCCCCAACTCAGCAGCAAAAAATGCAAAGCATGTGTGAGAAAATGGACAGGAACATAACGTGCTGGGCCAGGGGCACAGAGACCTCCCTCACCAGCCACGTGGCACACACGCACACACACACACACAAACAGGCACACACGTGCACACATACACACGCGCACACATTCACATAGGTGCATGCATACACAAGCACATACACATGCAAATATGCACACGTACCCATGCACACATGGCAAATATGCACATATGTGCACACTGCACACATGCATTCATGCATGTGCACATGCAAGTGCAAACATTCACTCAGGTGCACATGTGCATACACATGCTTCACAAACATGCACATGCACTCAAACATACACATCCATGCACATGCACACACACAGTTGCACACTCAACCACACATGTGCATATGCCCCCACACACATGTGCACACACATTCTCACATATGCACATGCACACACACATTTGCAATTGTGCACATGAGTGCAAACATTCAGCATACATACACGTACATTCACACATGTGCACATATACACACATGCATACACATGTAAGCATTCACACATGTGCAGTGTGTTTGCATGCATGTACTCACCCACCTGCACACTTGCACACATGTGGGCACACATGCACATACACATGTGCATACACACATGCACACACACACACCAGTCATAAGGTTCCCTCTCCCCACTCCTGCCTGCAGCACAGCAAGAAGGTGAGCATGGAGTAGGGGCAGGCATCAGCGCCTTTACTCTCTGCCTCAGTCCCCATATCGTTCAAGGTCCTTGGGGGTATCCAGTGGGATGGGGGGTGGGTAACAGTCTCTGCAAGTCAGCAAATACCATGTGGGGTGAGGCCCTGACCTCCAGGTCTGGGGGATGTTCTAGGACAAGGGGGTCATGTGACCAGCAGCACCTGAGTGGGGGGCACGGCTGGCTCTGGGCCACAGCAACAGAGCATGGAGACCCCTCCCACTGGCTGCTGGACTCAGAGGCCCCAGAATGGGGCAAAGGGTAGGTGGAGACACAGGGAGGTCTGGAGGACTGGCCTCACTCCACTCTCACAAGACTTTTCCCTCCGCCTCAGCCACCCTGGTCCAGGAGGCTGCCCCATCAAACCTTCTCAAGGAGCTTGTCAGTCCACGGGCCCTCTGCCCTGTTGCTTCTCATAGGGGCACTCATTCCTCCACCAAGGAGCCCCAGCGGATAAGAAAAGGTGCTGGATTTGAACCCAGGACTTCCTGCCCCTACAGCCACTCATGTGGCCACCCACGGGCTGAGGATGGACCAGCAGCCGCTACACACCCCACCCAAGGTCCCCCTCCAAGGGGAATAGTGCCAATGGGGCAGTGTCGGGGCCTGGGATGCTGACGGGCGAGAGCAGGCTGAGCCCTGTGGTCGCTTCCTGCAGGGTGAGCTCCGCTGAGCCCGGAGCCAGGCGTGGGGATGTTTGCTGGCATGGAGACAGGAAGGAGAGGATCTTGGCCTTCCGAAATGTTTACTACATCAGGTAATTAATCCACTACGCATGGGTTTCAGTGACGAAGAATAAAAACACACTCACACCCGCTCAGAGCAAATTGAGTCCAGACTCCAGCCAGCCTCGCCCGACCATCTAGGGCTCCTCACTCGGGCAGGGGGGGCAGGAGGGCTCAGTCATGCCAGGGTCACAGTCCACGAGCTGGGGGGTGGGGGTGGGGGCTGCAGGCCGGGTCCACCCTGCCCTGGCCCAGCCTCTCCAGGAGCCAGGCCCAGACAACTTCAAGTCTTCCCCATTTCCCAATGCTGCCTGCTTGATCCTACAGGGGCCCCTCAGGAATGCACATATTCACGGCCGCCTGCTGCCAGTGACCCCAGCCGCCCCCGCCCCCTGCCCCCCCCGCCCAGTTGGTCCAGGCCAGGGCAGAAGGAGGTGGGCTCTGCTTGTGCAATGCTTGGGGGGCTTAGGACCGGGAGCTGGGGCTCATTACATCCTGACAGGCAGGAGGCCCCAGGAGGGGACCCGAGCCGGGAGTGCAGAGCAGAGGAAGGGGCGCACACTGCGGCCACGCCGCCCGCCTCTGCCCACTGAGCTTCAAGCCCTGCCTCAGTCATCCATCTGCAAAATGGAAGCATGTCCAAGCCTCAGCAGGGCTACAAGGCCTGGGTGCAGACCAAGTGTGCTGGAGCTCCTTGGCCCAGTTGGCAGCTCACCCAGCCTGGCAGTGCCCCTGGACCCCTTCTTTTCTTTGCTTGCGTGTTTCCTGCTCTTGGCCTCAGAGTCAACTCGGCCCAGCCTTTTGGACACCCAGGCTCCCTGCCTGGCCAGGCGGCTCAGAAAGAGACCACAATGTCTGGGCATGCTTCAAACCCTGTACCCTGGCCATGCCGTCCACTCCACCACCTGCAGAGGGCTCAGATGTGCAGGCTGGCCTGGGGTGCCCCACCAACATCTGGATGCCTGGAGAGTGATTAGCAAGTGAAGAAAGCAGGAGTGGGCATGGGGGATGCCAGGGAGGGAGGCAGGGGCACAGGGAGTGCCAGGGAGGGAGGTGTGGGTACAGGAGGTGAGGGTGTGGGAGGCTTGGATGTGTCAGTAGTGGGCATGGGAGGTGTGGGCTTGGGAGGCGTGGGCATGGGAGATATGGCTGTGGGAGGTGTGGGCGTGGGAGGTGTGGCTGTGGGAGGTGTGGGCATGGGAGATATGGCTGTGGGAGGTGTGGGTGTGGGAGGTGTGGGTGTGGGAGCCGTGGTTGTGAGAGGTATGGGTGTGGGAGGCGTGGTCATGGGAGCTGTGGCTGTGGGAGGTGTGGGCGTGGGAGGCGTGGGCATGGGAGGTGTGGCTGTGGGAGGTGTGGGCGTGGGAGGCGTGGGCATGGGAGGTGTGGCTGTGGGAGGTGTGGGCGTGGGAGGTGTGGCTGTGGGAGGTGTGGGCGTGGGAGGCGTGGGCATGGGAGGTGTGGCTGTGGGAGGTGTGGGTGTGGGAGGTGTGGACGTGGGAGGTGTGGGCGTGGGAGGTGTGGGTGTGAGAGGTGTGGGTGTGGGAGGTGTGGGCGTGGGAGGTGTGGGTGTGAGAGGTGTGGGTGTG